TGTGTCCACAGACAGAGAATATGTGTTTATGTGCCTGGCCATATCTTCAACATTAGCATACAGTGCCTGTATCATATACTGTAAAAGCTATTTGTAACTTGAGTGGGTGCTTGTTTCCCTGCCTTTAAAATAAAAAACAAACCTATTGCAAAATCATTGCTACAGTGCTCATATTTGTCATTTTTTATCAGTGATGTACTATTTTTGTTTGTTTGTTTGTTTGTTTGTTTGTTTGTTTTAATATAAAGCAATGTACATATGGCCTTTGTGCATAACATCTTTCTCATTCAAGGTTGATAACAGGCTTCCATAATGGACAATAATGGTAGTTATTTGTTTAGTTTGTTTTGTTTCGTATGAACTTGGCAGCAAAATAGGTTTTATATGGATAGGTAGGTATAAGACCAGCATGCACCTTGGAGGGTCTATGGTTATGTACCAGAGCGACAGAGGCAGCATGAGCCATGATGTATCTGGTGTGTTGTTTGCTCGCTGAGATTAAATAACTAGAAAACCACAACACGTCTGCATGGACGATGGATTGAAGCTAGAAACCTGACACTGCCCAAAGGTGTCCAGACAACTGCCCACATCACACCAACGCCATATAAGTACAGACTCAGTGGCATAACAAAGAATCACACATCTTGCTTTGTGGTTTCCAGTGAATGTTAAGCCAATTTTCAAACTAAACTGAATTTGGTTGTCCAGATAAACCCTGCGAACAGCTGTGATGTGGTGTGTATTCATATTAAAGCAAGCATCCTGCTATTTAGGTTTTCTTTATGGTGATGAACCTTGGGGTGACTTTACAAAATGGCTTTGGGTCTGGTTCATTTTGTCATTAGTGGTCACAGGTGCTGCTCTGAGTAACTACTCTTCTCTCAGTTTAAATAGCTCAGGTGTGGCAAGGTTTGAACTTTGTGCCACTGGGGATCACAAGTGTCCAAGTTCAGGGGCGGGTGAGAAACAGCAGAGAGTAAAATGTCAAAAAAGAAAAGTCAGTTAAATAAGAGAGAACTAAGTGAAAGACGAGTTGACAAGGCCAGAGTCAAGTTTGAAGAGAACAAACGTAAGTGAACCACATCTAACACCAAGACTCCCCTATCGACTTCAGCCTCTTGTGATTGGAGGAGACACTTGAGAGTTTTCACGCTGTGACTCAGACCTCCCGACGATTACCAGAGTGGATCACACACCCACTCCCACAATCTGACACCAACTTTTCCTCCATCACTCTCCCCTCTTCCCCACTTTTTCCGCTGTCTCCACTCAGAATCGCTCTACACATGGTTCCAGTCTACACTTTGAAAAAATGCATACACATGCAACAGTTCGACGTAAATGCTGGTGTGGTAGCTTTAAAACCTTACCTTGTTTTTTGGACAGGAAGTGGAGTAACATTCCGGGCGCTTTATGACAATTAAATTTTGTGCTGGCAATAAATTTAAAGTGTCCCAGTTTTCAAATGAGACTCTCCTGAGATTTATAGGTGCCATTTTCCTGAAATTGTAAAGAACGAAAGAGACAGAGGCAGTGTGTGTGTGTGCGTGTGTGTGTGTGTGTGTGTGTGTGTTTTTATGACAAAGACCCCGGCTCTGTGTCTGGAAGTAATCATCTCGTCCACAGCCCCCTCCCTATGACGTAATTGGAGTTTTTTTGCATGATGGTTCAGGATTTTTCACTGGGAAATCAAGGGATTTTTCCAAAGTAACTTCTCATTCATTCTACTGTCTGAACTCACTTCAGTTTTTACATTTTACTTACTCTCAATATACCAACATGTTATCAGTTTCAAAAAAGGACGTCAGATCAAACAATGATCAGATTAATACACGTTAATATATAGCTAATGTCTCTGACTATAAAGGGGTTTTTACTCTCTGTCCTCACAGTTAAAGAGGGGGAGTGATTTTGGCTCTGTTTCAAACACAGCGATGGATGGGGCCTCCTCCCGCCTCCTCATTGCCTACTGCTAAAACAACAATCTAAGAAAAAACATTTTTTTATAACTGTGAGCACTAACGCTTGCTCTGGTTTTTTCTTCCACAAAAAAACAAACACACACACACACACACACACACACACACACACACACATTGCAGGAAGGTTCCCTGAGTGTGAGAACAGTCCAACTAAGTCTCTTCTTTCTATGAACAAATTGATCAGACAGACAGAAACTCAGGAAGTAGATCTGGTTTAAAGAAGGAATTAGGAATGGGAGATCAGACACTGTCACGTGAAAAGTAAGAGATTTTTAGTAATTCATTGCTGGAATATGACATAATGAAAACATGATACTGTGGCTTATTGATTACTGCAGGTCAGATGTCTGAATCATCTGCCAGGGGGAAATCAAATGTCTGGAGTCAGAAGGGATTAAACAAACTGATGGACACAATTAAAGCTAATAAAGTGATGATGCTTTCCTCATTTCTCCCTTCTTGTCTTTTTGCTTTTTTACATAACAGCAATTCTCTGCCTGACCGGAGAGGGGCAGCAGCCGCTCCTGATGCCGAAAAGTAAACACACACTCTCCCTCTCTCTCTCTCTCCTGAGGGAGGAGGACAGTCTGAGCAGGGAGTTGAGGTGGGAGTGGAGGGGAGGGGACGGGTGGGGAGGGGGGTCTCCTGCCTGATCCTTTGTCATGGGAAGACTTTACTCTGCAGTTTCATACAGAGGGAGCGGAGGACTTGAGCTTCAACAGTTACAGACACATGCCCCCCCAAAAAAAAGAAAAAAAAAAAAAACCGGCACAACTATGTGTGTGTTAGTCGCTCTCAGATCAATTCATCAGTTTCCTGATCGATACAATCGGTGATGCTCCGGGAAAAATCACACGGCCGCGTCTCGTTAAACTTGCAGCACTGTGTCAGAGTTTACAGCAGCAGTAACGCTTAGGTAAGTACTGAATGAAATACACAATCACAGAAATGGCAGGAAAAATCAGTTGAAAGTTTGGGTTTTTTTTTTCTTTGTATCTCAGGCAAATGTAAATGTGTCGAGGTTAAGAGCCAAGAGATTGAATTTTGTTAGGAGGATAAGACGCTGTGATCTCCACTGACTTAACATGCCCGCAAACACAACCATTTAAGAAAAAAGCCATCACTGGTTATGAGCAAGTCTTCAAACTGTTGATCACAACCTCGTGTGTGTGTTTGTGTGTACAGCATGCATATGATTGAATGTGTATAAGTCGTTGGTGAATCAGAACATTGTAAAAGCAGTACAGTGATTTTAGAGCTGAAAGTAAGTTAGTAACAAATTGTTCAAACTTCTTTCTGGTGTCTTAGAGACCAACAGATTAACCAAGAAAGTAACTAGAAGATTAATCCAATATGAAAATAATCATTAGTTGCAACCCTAATTGATTTTACCTTTTCTAACCTCTGTGATTTCCTTTCTGATTTTTTTTTCTTCTCATGGAAATAATGAGTGACCAGGATCAGCTTGAACCTCATGCAACGTGAAAGAATTTATCTGCAGAGTGTTACCATTCCTCAACCTGTTTACATCTCGCTGTGTGTTTATGATCTTACACTACCCTGCCGGCCTATAGTCTGGCTGATGCAGTAAAAACTCTTGCTGCTGACATGATCTTGGGGGGGGGGGGGGGGTTTGCCCCTCTTTTCTCAAGAGGTCTGGAGAATGAACTCATGCTGATTGATTGTGTGACTGTAAAAGGATACCCTACTTCCTGTAGGCCCTCTCTCCAGACAGCAGCACCAGAGAATCTTGGATCGGCCATCTCTGTCTTTCTCTGTGGTGTGTGTGTGTGTGTGTGTGTGTGTGTGTGTGTGTGTGTGTGTGCGTGTGCGTATGCGTGTGCGTGTGCTGTCTGTGGATTCAGGAAACTGTAACGTCTGACTTTTTAAATCCCTCTATTGCAACTCTGGAACCTTCAATATCCTCACTCAGGGTGATTTTTCTGAGTTATGACGTTAGGTATGTGCACCTGAAGATGTATTTCTTAGTATTATTTGATGTATTTATTTCTTTTAGCTTTCATTGTTTTTTTTCCTTGAGTAGAGAGTAAGACTTTCTCTTTCTGTTGTTGGACACTCAACATCTTCACTGGAAAAACTGGTGGTTGAACACTGCTAGCACTGTTTTTATAATCAATCATTCTATTAATTATCTTTTTGATGAGTCGATTAATCAATTACTCAATTAATCAAAAAATATGTAATTTAATTAATTAAAATGTCTCACTTTGTCTGACAAACAGTCAAAAAGTCCAAAGTATTTCAATTAAAATAATATAATATCTTTAAAAGGAAGAAACAACTGAAACTGTGAAGCTGTAATCTGCAAATATTTTGTATTTTAATATTTACTAATATACTAATAATTGTTTTGTGTTATTGTTTGAAACTGTAATCACTCTTCTGTCAGAGGACTAATAATTTTAGCATGACATGTCAGATCCTCAAGCAGTTATCCGGCCCCAACCTCTAACTTTGGCTGCTGCCTCAATGAGTCTGGGGCTCTGAGGGAATACTTTCAAGGTCTGCTCATGAATTTGGGGCTAAAAGATTGATTATGGCTGAGTTTTAAGACTGGATTTTTATTGGTAACACAGAGCAGGGCATAAAAACTTTCCTCTGGATCTGTTTTCCTACTCAGTCTTTAGGAAAGTTTTTTTTCTTCTTTCCATTTAAATATGCACATCTGAAATATCTGCTTGAATTGAGGCATTGTTGTTTCGAGTTTTGAGGGATAAGTTGAAGGGCCACAAGGCATGGACTCAACTTCCTGTGATGTCTGCATTGCTCTTGTTTGATTGGAAGATGCTACTATAATTTTTGCAGGGTGTCAGGAAGGAAAGTTGAACTTATGGTTACATACAGTACATATTTGTATTCCACTGGGTAACATTAGGATGAATCTGTTTTATACAGGGTATAATTATGATTCCCTTCCCTTTCTTCTTCTCAGGGAACAAAGCACACAGCTGAATCCTGCGTCCTCAGACTGAACCAGAGACGGAGGTCAGTGTGATGAACAGCATGCTTCCTCAGAGGAGTGCGGTCTCCACACTGGGCTACGGCTCAGGTAAGACAACATTCAAGAACTATTTTTGTTGATATTATATTGAGATGATATTTAGATTTATTTTTGATACTGATCACTTTGATTGTGCAATTCAGCATTGATCTAGATTATAGGTTCCTCATCTAATATTTGATTAGATGGCCCTTGAATTAAATCTATCCTCCACCTTTGTTCAAAGAACAGTCAGCTAAATGACAGTAAACTCAGATCATTTTAGCTCACCAGCATCATGTAAGCCTGGATTCATTTTGTGCTGGTTTATTGAGTTATCTGGATAACTTTCCTTAATCTGGAAGCCAGAACAGGCTTGGAACAGACTTCTGACCTATGTTTTCAATAATGATCAGCAGAAAGAAAAAGCACAAAATGCAGAGAATTTTAGCTCAAACTGAGAAGCACAGTCACATTACAGGTATTTGTATCTAGACAGAGGAATGTACCAGCTTTATTCCTTGTCACAATTTTAAATGATGGTCTAGGTCGTAATTAATAATAAAAAAGAGTTTTATTCAGCCCAGCAAACTTTGCCATTTGAAGGTGCAGAATAAATTTGTGAGGGAGATTTTTATGCCAAAGGAGGTGGGCATTTTGTAGTATCACATGAACTCTGTAATTATATATTTATTCACTGTCCAGTCACCCATGACTCAGGGCACCGTGCTCACACTGCTTGCCAAGATATTTGGATGTCCTCAGGCTTTTTTTTTTGCAGTCGAGACTATGATGCATTCTGGCTTGTCTTGGTCCACCAGCATTCTTCCATTTTTAGAAGAAGCCTAACCACTGATTGAGCCCATGTTTGTATTGGGCTGAGAACTGTATGAGCGTACATTCTTCACTGGTCCGCCCCCCCCCCCCTCCTCCCCCTTACTCAGCACATGTGTGACAGCACTTCTCTTTGCTGAGCTGGTGCTTATTAAAGAAGTTACATTAAACCTGAGTCTATTATATAGTCCAAAAAGAGACAGGATGTCATGCTCTGTCAACTTTCTCTCCTCTACAGACTGTGTGAAGATTGAGCACAGCAGCAGTGGCTCAGTGGGCGGGACATTGCTGAGAGGCTCCCGCTCCAAGGCAGAGTTACAGGATCTGATGGAGACGCTGCAGCGCAGGAAGAGTGCTCTGGAGGCCAGCCTGAGGGCAGCTGAGTGCAGCCGCAAGTACCTCAGCGTGCCCTCACCTGTTGGACCCCAATCCACCAGGACACTATCCATCCTCAGTAATGCCGATCGCCCTCCGTCTGCCTCTAGAAACTTCTACATGACCAGCAGCAGCGTGCCTCCATCACCTCGCCAGGGTGAACGCCAGCTGAGCCCTAACGGCTTGCTCCGTCATTCCCACTCTCGCCACCAGTCACAGGACAGTCTGCTCCTCTCTAATGCAGTAGATGGAAGCTCTCTGCTCTCCTCTTATGGGGAGCCCCTACCTCGTTCTCCCAGGGTCAAAAGTGGAGCAGCCAGCGTGCCGTCCAGCCCTCGCATGGGCCGCAGACTCTACTCTCAGGGCAAAGCTGGAGGAGACTCCCGGCAGAGGAAATACTCCACTGGCTCCCTCAACAGCTTGGGGATGCATAGCCGTTCTCTGCCACGGCTTCACAACACAGCAGACCCCCCTGCTCTGTCGCTCCCATCACGCCACTCTATGGGTTCCCACAGAGGAGTGGGGTCAGCAGGGCCGCGGCGCAGCCTCTCATCTCTGGAGCAGCCACCAGATGTGACTGTACCAGCCAGCATGCCCAGCACTCCCAGGAGGGCCAGTCTGGCCTCTCTAAGCTCTCTGGGTGTAGAGCTCGATGGGACAGGCTTAGATCTGGGCTTTGGAGAGAGGAGGTTGTCCTTTGGGAAGGGCGGGTTGAGTCCAGGACAGAGAGTCGGCAGCATCAGCTCTTTGAATGGCAAGGAGGAGCTGAGAGACTACCACCAGCACCAGAGAGATGAGCGACTCAGGGAGCAGAAAGTGCAGAGATTGGTGAGTTTCTTTTTGACCATGGTTTGTCCACTTTTATATAAATTTAACAGTTTTTAAAACCTTATTTGACCTTGTTTGAAAATATGAAAGTTAACAGTAACATAACTCAAATATGGTTAAAAGAGTAATTATGAATCCCTTGTCTGCAGGAATGCCAGCGCCTGGAGACCATTTTGAACCTATGCACTGAGTTGGGTCAGGTGGAAAGAGAGCCAGCGGGTTCAGCTGTTTCTGACCTGCAGAAGATCAATAAGGAGTTGGAGAAATTGCAGGTGTCAGATGATGAGTCAGTGTTCTCTGACTCTCCCGGCAGCACTGCTCCAGACGGCTGCTTTGGGGCCAAAGCCAGAGATTTCCAACTCTCTGATGAGCAGCAGGTTAACCAGCGTCAGCAGGGCGGCTACAGAGAGCCGAGATCCCATTCACCAGCTATCAGCCTGAACAGCAGTGCCCCCTCACCCTCCACCCAACATAGAGTCAAAGTAAGTTTCACCATGCCTCATAATCATTGGGCCAGGAGGATGAAATTGAATAATGACAAATTGTAAAGAATGGGGAGGATTTTGTTAGAAATGGGTAAACAAGTCAAGTAAATATTTTTTATATAGCCCCCAATCATGAATTACTAATTCTCAATCACACAGAAATACAAATCCATTATCACAAATTACAAAAGAGACAGAAAAAAAAAAAAATTCTAATTAAAAAACACCAGGAAAGACCATCTTAACCACTGGGGGGTTAAGATGGTCTGTATTCAGAATTAAGCTAGTTAATTCTGAATACAGATATCAGTATATTAATATTGTATATTATAGTCTATGTATTGTAAATTGGCTAATACATTTTAAAGCAGAGTAATGGTTAGGGAGGCATTAATCAATTTTTTACGAATGTAAGTCTAATATTCACTCTGCTTTTTTATCGCTGTTCCCACACTTGTATCCACCAACCTTTGACAAATTATCTGAGTGTTTAGCTGTCAAACACTCCACTGTGTACTGTACACTAGCTAGCAGTTGCTAACTTAACTAGTTGCTTTTGACCTGTCACAGTAGGAGAAGCACAGATGTTATTAATAACAGTAACAATGGCTCTGTTCTTTTCAGGTGTCCCAGTAAGCAATTACAGGGGCTGTGCCCAAAATCACAGCTTATTTGTTATATAGTGTGAAATTTGTCCACTCGCCTATGTAGCGGCCTCACAAATTCTCACAGTGGAGCAGCAAATGGTACTTTCTGATAACAATCTCACAATGCTATGTGCTGCATTTTATAAATGTGGAAATTACTGTTCACTGCTCACTGTAGATGAAACTACTGAGTGTCTATTGTTTAGGGAATAGTGAGTGAGATGGTGAATGAGGGAATGATTTCGGACCCAGCTTGTGTTACAGTGAACCACCATGTGCTTTTTCTACTGTGATATGTGAAGAAGAACTGTGGAAAAGGCTTCTTGTCTGTGGATTTGTCATTGCAAACAGCCCCTTTCACAGTATTGATAATCATTTTTATTCACTCTCATTATAAAGATATTGATAAGTGGATATTTAATGCGTGGCTATGGGGTTTTAATTTTGCTGGACATAGTTAAATCATGTGTCTGGCTGTAGAACATGAAGTATTGCACTACCTTGACTGAACCTTTTGAGTATCTGCCCCAAGTCTATCCACATCATGTCCTTGACTTCTCTCAGTTACTTCCTGCTACAGAGTGAGTGTTTAAGTACATGAAGAGAAGACCCAGCTGTGGTGAAGAACTAATGGGTCCCACCCCTGCTGTGGAATGCAGTTTATCTGACTGCTGATCGCTTGTTTATCTTTGTTTGTTTACCTGCTGCAATATCAGGGTAAATTCTTTCCATTTCCAGGTTAATTTTCATTCCCCTTTCCATATTGCCACAAAACTTCATTTTAAGCTCTAGATTACAAAGATTACAAAGTTTTTAGCATAACTAAATGTGTCAGTATGTGGGAGAAGAATCTTTAAGGGGGTCTAAAATGTTTACAACTTATATATATATATATATTGGTGCAGACATTTTTCCCCTAAATTTTAAGGGTTGTCAGGGTTGAAGGGGTTAACGTTGTCCAAAAAAACCTAATCATCCTATACACCATGATGAATTTTGTCTTATATTTGGCTCAAACTGAATTTGTGTAGATGAAAAGTGGTATCATGTGTCGCATGAAGCTTTTTTGCAGCTCTGAGTCATACACTGACTGCTCATCCATGGCATGATGGCTGCATACTGTGTGTACCTTCCACAACATTATTCAACACATAAACACTCGATTGAGGTAGATTCCTCAAAATCATTGTGTTGTTAAGTGTGTGTAACTTGCAATTAGCACATTTCCTGTTTATGTGGGTTGTTCAGACACATAAACAGGGAAATCACAGTTTCACAAGACCTCCTCACAGCTTTGATGTTACTACAATTCGACCTCATCTGTTCTCTCATCAACATTTTGAATGCATTACAGTGGGGAGCCTTGCCTCACACACTGAGAAATGAATGAACATGTTTGATTTACAAATATAAACATACCAAAAATATTAAAATAATTTAATACTGTGATTCCAGCTTCCTCCTGCACTGTCTCAGTCCTAGTGCCGCTGAGTTACTGTCTCTGTAAAATCTGTAAAAAATCTTTTTTTCCCCCACTACAGCAGTAACAAGCTAATGGTGTGTCTGGTTTTAATGAAGAAGTCCTAGTTTTCTTTCAGCACTCAACCATTGAAACTCTTCAAGGAGGGGGGAACAGGAAATGACTTTATCCCACGGAGAATTAGTGTGTGTATGTGTGTGTGTGTGTGTGCACAAAACTGTGTGTGTGTGTGTGTGTGCGCGCACGTGTGCGTGTGTGTGTGTGTGTGTGTGTGTGTGTGTGTGTGTGCGTGTGTGTGAGAGAGTGTGAGTGGAAGAATGTTAGTGTATATGCATAGCTAAGACATGCGTTTTTCCAGATGTTTTGAACTCGATACTGAGGCTTAATGTATGGAAGACCCTCTGAAAATGAAAATGTATGTGAAAGATACAATTCTCAAACACACCCAAAGTTTATGGAAATTAAATTTCCTAGTTAGGACCATCATTTCTTCAGCGTGTCAGTTGTGACAAAGGTTTACAGGCTCCAGATACCCTCCATCGCATCTCTTGCATTCCTAAGAGCAGAGCGTGCAGGAAGACAGAGAGCTCACAACCCGTCTAGGAAGCTATAAATCCTAACCCTGCTGGCCACATGAGCCTCCGAAAAATCCTCTTTGCTCCTTTAAAGAAGAATACCTGAGTATAAAGGATCTCTTCAATGCAGCCACATATGAGTATGAATGAATGTTTGCTGGATGCTGGTAGATGGTGCAAAACGTGGGAGTGCTTTGGCATGACTGGCAGTGACTGGAGTGCGATTGGAGAGATTTCCATTACACCGAGCAGAAAAGAATCCTGTTGTCAGTGATCCAGCTTTGGATGAGTTAGAACAGCAGCTGCTGTCGTCTTATTCGACAATCGACTGGCTGGCAAATTATTTTAACAACACACAGCACTTTATTCAAGAAAACTTGAAAAGTTTTTCATGTTATAAACTTTCTGTTGATTTTGATTGAACATACAATCACCAAAAGATGCAACTGCCAGTAGGGATTTTTGCGTAGTTAGATCTGTGTAACGCAAAGTCTCCTGTAAGGCAAAGCATTTATATGAATTCCTGATGTCACTACAGGCATTGGAGAGTGTGCAGCTGAAACAGGAAGTAACGCATATAGAGGAAGAGAGGATTCAAGTTCTGAACAACATAGAGGAGCTGGAGCAGAAGATCAAAGACCTGGACAACCAGATGGAGGAGTCTGTCCGAGAGGTAGACAACACAGTGCAGTACATAAACACAACTGAACAGCCTGGCAGTGTTTGTTCTCTTCTGCTGTCAGATAAACGAATGGCTTATTGATCCCTTAAGAGTGGTGTGTCCCTCCAGCTCACCACAGTAAAAGCTGAGGAAGTGAGCTGCTTGATTTGCCATGGAGTTGCAGCCATCAGAAATCAGAAATGCAGTAAATGCTCTGAATAAAATCAATCCAGGTTTACTAATCTGTGCTTCTGTTTCCTGCAGATGGAGGTGGAGTGTGCTCTGCTAGAAGGGGAGCAGGAGTCCGAGATGGGCCAGCTGCAGAGGGAAAAGGAGCTTCTGGACCAACTCAAGGAAAAGATTCATAGCATTGAAAAGACGAGTCACACTGAGAAGTCACAGGTAAAAATGACCAAAAATTACAAGCCATGAATGAATTTCTGGGGACGGGTTTTAGGCAGACAAAGCCAACAATCTGAGATGACCTCGCATCTCCATTTGTAATTTGGCTTGCATTGGTCAGAGGTAATTAAGGGGAATGCTGTCATCAAGAATTGGGGCCACAGACACTCATGCCAACTCTCAGGGATCAGTTCAGTTCAACTAAAGCTTCCTCTAAAATGGCTTCAGTTGCTTATCCTTTAAAACAAAACAAACAAATTATGTTTCATGAAGGAAATGCTTAAAACCCCAGACTCAGGGAGGTCATCACAAATGAGATCTGCAAAGCAGCTTATAACAACTTCTAAAAGACCCCCACCGTAACTGTAAAAGTGTCCAAATGTCCAACAGAAACTAAATTTAAAGGCATCTCCAAACAAAGTGATTGAAAGGATGTCTTTCTGCATTTATTTATTTAACTTTCCCAAGACTCCTCAATCATCTTTCTCTATTACCTCTATCATCCTTCTTGACCTTGTTCTCTGTAAATCTGGATCCCTTCCTTTATGTGTTGTCTCACAACATGTCGTTCTTGTCATTCACAACTTCTGTTTTAGCCCTGGTATCCCTTGGACCCACATTTGGGAAGAGGTCCAAATACTGTAGTTGCCATGTGTAAAAAAAAAAAAAAAATTTGTACATCTGACTCCAATTTGGAAAAGTAAAATCACCTGAAACCTCACATCACTTGGAAGGACATGCAGTGTTACACAAATAGCATCTATTCTATAACACTCTGAAGAAGATGGCCAGTCAGATGCTTAAATCCTGAATGTTAATTAGTGTTAAATACTGAAAACACCAAAACATTTTACATGAATGGATTTCCATATTTATTGTTCATTATTTGTGCCAATAGTAGATCTAACTCTCAAACAGTTTATTCTCATCTATTTATGTTCTTCTACTTTGTCACTGAGGTGTTGTGTGTGTGTGTCTGTGGCGCCTCTCAGGAAGCTAAGGAGCAGACAAAAAGTTTGGAGGATTTGGAGTTTCAGAAGCTGGAGAGAGAAATTAATCAGGACGAGGAAAAAGAGAATCAGAGCCAAGAGCTGCTGCGAGAAATCGCCGAGTGCCAGCGTCTTACTGTCACACGCAAGGTACAGCGAGTGAGGTTTTATGAATGTGCATGGAGCTTTTAGTGCATGTATAACAAATGCAGTTAATGCTGGCATTGCATGACTGTAAAATGTCTAATTATCACCCACAGGGATCTACAGTACAAATACAACTGTGGGTGTGCACCTAAACCATGTCAATGAAGTAACCAAACCAAATTTTGACAAGATTTAAAGTGTGTACTGTTTCATAGTTTAGCTACAGTAGCTCTTTAGTATTAGAGTGGACTCTTCAGTGCATGTTCAGTGACACAGGCAAAAAGAAGCACAATTTTTTAAATTTAAAAAAAACAGAATTTATCCGAATTTTCATTTGAACATTTTTGTAGTGATCATTTAAAATTTTCTTTTTCTTTCTTTTTTTACATTCTGGTTTGTTGTCATTAATCTTACTGCAGGTTGTGCATGAAAATAAAGCTGCAAAATTGTGAGATTTGCAACGCAAAGCATGAACTAATAACAAGAAACAGCAATACCAGCAATGGTAAGCATGCAATAGCAATATCTAAGGCCTGAAGAATGAATTGACTTCTGAAGTCGAGGGTAAAACCACAGAGAGAGGGCAGAAACAGGGCGAGGATGTTTCATTGCTTCAAAATAAAACACCTCTGCGGTATCTGCTAATGTCACAACATTTCTTTGCTTCATACTTTGTGAGAGTTTCCAAATATTGTGCAGTGAGACTGTGCTGTCCTGTTCTCAAAGGAAAGACTCATGACACTGAAGAAACAGTCCTCACAGATCACCTTACAGGCTCAGCAAGAAAGAGAGAATTTCCAGAGAGAAAAGAACAATTTGCTTGTCATGCTGCAGAAGGTAAGATATTTTTTTGCATGCTGATATTATAAATATTTGATTTTATTTACTTGAGGATCCTATCGTGATGTCTACAGGAGAGAGACAAACTGGTGTCTTTGGAAGGAAAGTATGCAGAGTTGTCTGAGGGGCAGACCTTCACGAACATCCCTGTAGCCATCAAAGAGGTAGGAGCCAGTTACAGTTACGATAGTTACTATATATCTAATACATCTATGTATCTAATACTATATCCAGCAGCAGAGTTCCCCTGTGTCTTTAAGCAAAGTACATCAGACAGTGGATGAACCAAAGTTTCAGTGTTTCTGAGGAGATATCCTGTTATTTTTATCCTTTGTGATTCCTCTAATCTTTGTGATCACTGCAGCACTTGCACTCTCTGAAGGAAAGGAGAAGAAGCAGCAAAGAAAACTCTTCCCACCCGAGTGACAGCCTACCTCATAAGAGGAGCCAGCAGCTCCCCACCTCTTACGGCAGATCCCTGGGACGAACGCTCCCTCCCAAGGTTTTTACTTTTTTCAAAGATTTTAACCAGCTCCAATGATTCCTTTAGCTGTTACTCTGAGGTTCTTTGTTACATTACTGATCATTCTGTTTTGTGCCTCTGGAGTCACCTTAGCTGGACACCCACTTCTAGGGAGAGTTGTAACTAAATTATCTTCATTTATAGACAGTGTGTCTGATTGTGGACTGATGAGTATCTAAACTCTTTGAAATGACGTTGTCACCATTTCAGCTTTATGCAAATCAACGATTCTTGATCCTAAGTCTTCTGAGATCTTTCTTGTGAAGTGTTTTTTATAAGTCAAAGTAGCTCTAACCCACACCATTAATCCTGTTTCATTGATTGGACTCCAGGTTTGATAACTCCTGACTCTAATTAGCTTTTGTTGATGTCATTAACCGAGGGATTCACATACTTTTTCCAATGTGAATGTTTGAATTCTGTATTCAGTATGATTTGTGAGTGATTAGTTAAATTAGATTGCGTTTGTTCATTATTTTAACTTGGATGAAGATCTGAACATATTTTAGGGAGAATCGATACATAAATGGAGGTAATTCCAAAGGGTTCACTTACATTTTTCTTGCCACTGTAATGGTGCACATACTGATCCTGGACTGCAGAGCAGGGGATTTCATTACCTCATTATTTCCATCCAGAAACATTTGAACTTTTTTGTCCCTAGAGGACGGTCCACCCAAACAGGAATTCTCAGTTAGTCTTGCAACACCCATCCAGCTCATGCAGTACTTTGCTAGTGAGAAAGGTTTGTAGTTGTGTGAAGGTTGTAGAGCCTGGTCCTGACCACCAGGGGTGCTCCTGTATTCCTCCCCAGGCTCATCTGCCTCTATCCCAAAGCTCCAGCTGTGGCAGTGTCATCCCACAAGGCTTCAGCTTCTCCACCCGGGACCTGAACACCCGTCGCCTGCCCAAGAGTGAGTACCAGACTGTTGCATCTTGTCTGCGTCATCTCAGGCTTTATGCATGTATCCGGACAGTTGATGCCGTGGTGATGACATAATCTGTGGCACTGCACAAAGTGAGCTACATTTAGTCCAAATGGGACATCTCAACAGAAGTACTGCAATTTATACAAGATAGAAATTTTTGATTTTGAGGCAAATTTCTTGTGTGCACAACATGATCAAAACAAGTAGCACATGGAAAATATCCCTATTGGAAATGGCAGTATATTTCATTTGATAGGTCCAATTAGTTTGGGTTTTTTTGTGAAGATTTAAAGTCATCAGAATTTATCACTCAAGAAAAACATGTTTTTAAATACTATAGCATTTGAATTGAACAAATTTAAGTTTTCTTTAAGTCTTCTTTTGTACGTAATCACAAAGTCTTTTCTTAAGATTGAAGGAAAAGATTGAGAAACTACTCTGCTTCATACAGTATAGAGTGAATTAAGAATTAAATGCCTGTATCCTTCTCCAGCTTGATGGATTGCTGTTACTTGGCCCTGTTGCTGCAAACAGATTATATAAAATTATGATTACAAGATGCTTGGCCAACTAGTTAATGAATTGCAGCTCTATTTCTGTGATTTGGTACTTACATGACATTAGATCATGCATACTGAGGGTATTTCCACTTTGTTGCTGTAATATTTTTCTTCTGTCAGCAGGCAACAGCCATGCACACATGAATGAAGACAGACAGAGAAGAAGTGATTTCTGCAGCAGGATGGTGTCAGAGCCCAACGTGTTCCTGGACTCCTTCTCTTACCCGGACAACAGCCAAGCCTCAGATACCGTCAGTGTGGACAGCTCTGACAGCCTGGAGACCAGCTTCTCCGCCTGCTCCCCGGACAACATCTCCAGGTTAGAGACGAACCACGATGATAAACAGATGAATGGTCACACTGAAGAGTTTAGACAGCGAATATTTGTGAATTAGATGATGGTGAATTGTACTTTTTGAAAAGAAGTGAGACAGACAAAAGAAATGAGAGGAAAAAGGCTGATGAAAGACATTTAGGAGAGAAGAGCGAGCAGAAAGAGGAAATGTTTTTGGCTGTAATTCACAGTCAGGTGAGAGACAAATGTTGATGATGTCAAGCTCTTCATCCTCTTACACAGACGGTTACATATACATTAGCAAGTGCAGCCTTTGTGATGGTGTTCATGGCAATGCTGGCACTTTGTCATGTCTAAGCGGGCTCATGATTTGTTAGGGAAGTCCTACCTCACAGTGATATAAGAGTCACCCTTTTTCCTGCAAATTTAAACAAAAACCTGAAACTAAACTAAACTATCTATATATTCATGACCTCCGCCAGGGAGGTTATGTTTCCACTCATGTCTGTTTGTTGGTTGGTTTGTTTGTTTATTTGTCAGAAGGATTGCGCAAAAAATTCTGAAACATTTTGCAACCAAACTTGGTGGAGGGGTGGGGCATGGACCAGGCAAGAACCCATTCGATTATGTTGCAGATGCGGTTAAAGGAGTGGATCCAGGAATTTTTTTTTATCACTTTCCTAAACATTTGTTCAACATTTTCCTCAATTTCTCAGGAAATAATATTTTGATCTTGATGTAAAAAAAAAAAAAATCAGACACGTTGATGGTGTTGAGATCTACGAGTTTGTACAATTTGGTACAGATCCAGATAATAATCATGAGCATCTAGATCAAGATCTGGTGGAAGAAAATAAGTATTTCACTGAATATGCAACTAATAAAAATTACACAATAACAACAGCAGCTGCAACATAGCGATGGGACAATTCATGCAGCTGTATGAATTGTATAATGCTGATAACATTATTTCACACAACAGGTAATAAAAGCTGTTCTGTGTAAGAATTAAAGACAATAAATAAATAAAGCCTTACATGACGGAGATATGCGCTCTACTGAGTGTCATTCTTGTTTTAAGTGAGGTATTTGTACAAATGAGTTGAGTCTTCTTGTGTGTTCCATTTTCCGTCAGTGCTAGTACCTCCAATATGGCGAAGATTGAGGAGATGGAGCGTTTACTCCGAGAGGCCCAGGCTGAGAAGCAGAGACTCCTCGAGCATCGGGTAATGTGTCAAACCTAACCAAAACCTACTGTAAATAGACGTGTGTGTTTAATAATGGATGTACTTAACTCTGTGTGGCATGTGCAGGAGCGTGAGATGGAGATGCGCAGACAGGCTCTGGTGGAGGAGCGGCGAAGAAGGGAGGAACTGGAGAAACGACTGCAGGAGGAGACGAGCAGGAGACAGAAACTCGTAGAGAGAGAGGTGAAGCTCAGGGAGAAACAAAGATCCCAGGTAATCAGAATAACTGACAAGAAGAGGTTCAAATCTGACTTTTTTTTTTTGCACCATAAGCTTCATGTGAATACTTTTTGAACAAAGCAGCATCACAATGTTTACATCTGTAATCTAATTTCATTGCTTGTTTCCATAGTCCCGTCTGTTGACACGCTACCTCCCTGTAAGGAAAGACGACTTTGATCTTCACGGCCACATTGAGGCAGCAGGACACAACCCAGATGCCTGCTTCCATCTGGCCATCACTGATAAAACCTGTCGGGGCTTCCTGGTCAAAATGGGTGGCAAGATAAAGACCTGGAAGAAACGCTGGTTTGTCTTCGACCAGAATCGCAGGACGCTCACCTACTTTGCAGGCGAGTACTTCATCCTTTCAGTTCTCTGTTGTAAACGTGCAGTTTAAAATGTGAGACAGAGTTACTCCAACCATGATGTCATTTTTAAGCTATGCCAAGATACTTAGGACGCTGAGAACGAGCTTTGATCACAGCGTTAACATTTCTGTTTATATTCTCCGCTGCAGACAAACATGAGACCAAGATGAAAGGAGTCATTTACTTCCAAGCCATAGAAGAGGTGTACTATGACCATTTAAAGAATGCACACAAAGTAAGTCCATTTATGTGCATGCGTGTGCGTGTCTGTGATTGTTACCACGTGGCATCGTCTACACATGCGCCATTTTATTTGAATATGTTGACATCTGTTTGTCTTCTGCTTCTCTCCCTCCATTTGTCTTTCTCCCTCCCACACGTGCATCAACCCCCTCCCCCCTTTATTCTCTATTATTTCACTTTTTTCTCAAAATTACATTCACTGCCGCACCCAAGAGCCCCAACCCCTCGCTGACGTTCAGCGTGAAGACCCACGATCGGGTTTACTACATGGTGGCTCCGTCCCCCGAGGCCATGCGTATCTGGATGGACGTTATTGTTACAGGTGCTGAAGGACACATGCATTTCATGGTGTAACTGATCCCAACAGATCAGGGCCCACACCACTACATTTCTTTGGTAAACATTGTGTCACAGCATGAGAGGATTTACGGCACTCTGCTCGTATCAAACACGTTGTGTAGAGCTGAGATGGATGTTCATCAGGTGAACAAAAAATTAACTTCTGTTTACACTTGTAGTATTTGTAGCCTACAATGACAGTTCATGCTCAGAAGCACACTTTAATGTATGTAGAATGTAATCATGTATAACAAATGAAAAGAATTGATATACAGGTTTCATAATTAAGCTATGTAGTGTATTTTTTTATTTGTTTATGTAGCATAAGTGGCTGAATCATTACAAAATCTTGCAACAATTTAGCTGTTACATTTTCCAATCTCTGCTTGTCTCACACTCTCCCAGTCATGTTTAGCTTTTATTCAGTCAAAACTCTATCAGGGAAGCTATTAAATGATCGGCTACACTTCCAAAATGCTGTACTCACTGATGCAGCTTCTCTATAACAGATGCATATCTGTCAAACAGCTTTCTATAAACTGCAGCCTTCTGTAATTTCCTTATCCCCACTTTTCAAACCAAAGTTCATGTTGTAGGTCGACCTCTGTTTCGTCTCCTTCTTTTCATTGCCTTCTCTTTTTTTCCCGTTTGACTCCATCTTCTCAGTATTTCCACATCTTAGTCAGACTGAAATTTAGCTCCTTTGAACATCAGTGTATCAGTGGGTCACAACTTCCTGGCGATCTTTTCCTAGATTAGATCACCACGTCTGTATTTGTGGTTGCTAGAATGCACATTTTTATGTTAACTCAGATTTATTATTTCTATATTGTCACTAATATTCCAATGTACTTTGTGTGAGTTTTATGTCACATTTTTAACTCAAGCATCTTGATTGCTGCTGCCAGACTACCAGCATAAGCTGCTCTTGTCTGCTTATTTAAAGCAGGGCTGAATGTCCACCATTAGTATTCCTTGAAAACTAGATATATCTGTGTTTGCATCATTTTCTTCACACATTCAAATTTAATTTGCGACGAAGAGATTATTACAGGCACTTTTTTACATTTTATTATTATTAATTATTTGTAATTAGTGGCAAATATTCTACTCATTAAATTAGAAAATGTTCCCAAATCACAATGGTACCGTGTTTCATACCTACCGCTGTGCAACTAGCTCCTTCTATCTATAGTAGAGGCTGCTGACCTGATAAAATGAGGTCATATTGTGCAGCAGTGATGCTGTATGTGCTGCATCACCCGCATGTTCCTTATACTAAAGCATTTCATTATGTTTTTTCACCAGCAGAGGTCGTGAGTGCAGAGTGGTTGCACTGGAATGACGTAATGCTCAGGCTGGCTGGTCCATAGTCACTTAAATAAATGAGCAGTTACTGAAAGAGCAGAGCCTCAATGATCCATATTTTCTAATGCTCATATATCAGATATGGACATTTATCAGCACATGTATACCAAGCTTAAGATTTGCTTTTTGAAAGCAAATCATCATGTATAGGATGATGTGTAGGAGGAACACAAAATTATTTTTGCAATTTTGTCTTAAATGTGTTATTAAATCCATATATTTAATCTGTATATTCACTGAGTATCTACACCAGTCTGACTGTGTTTGATAATGAAAGATCACTTTAACGTCGAGTGACCAGCGCTTGGTTCACAGACTTCAGGGCTCGCTGTTTGTCTTGTGCTGGACCGGTGTTGGTTCACTCAGCCCTGCAGAGTGCCGATCAGGCTGCAGAGCCGACAGTGTTGCAGATGAGCTGTTGTCTTTGATGGATGCTTCTCAGTAAACAGATGTATCCATCAGGTAAACATCTCATCCCTAAACTGTCATCCACTGAATGAGATACACAAGCCTTGAAACCAAACAAATTTCCACATTTATATATACAGTATATATATATATATATATATATATATTGAGAACATTTAATATTTGATATTTTGTATGATTTTAGTAGACTCTATGCTACAGGTTTTTATACTCGACATGTGTCATGAATAAATAATTTGGATTATAAATGATTTCTCTGAAATGTTATGGTTACTTATTTTGTCTGTTGAATATGAACATTATATTTCACAGGGCTGTAAAAATCTGTAAAACAGTGGACGGATACATGAACTCTTTCCTTGCGGTGGCACTAAAAGGGAGCTTTATAAATCCCGACATGGCATAATAGTATGGTTTCCCATGGATACTGGGCACCATAGCATTATTTCCACACTGTTGTAATGTATCACCATGGGAATCGATGGCCTTATTGTATAGGGCTGCACAATGCCCCTGTCAAGCAGTGTAACTAGACATTTTCATCAAACCTCTTTATTTTGATTTAAGAGCCCATACCACCATTGCTGTGACATTTTGTGTTAATTCTCCATTTCTATCTATATCTGGATAGAATCTGAAATGACTCAGATTCAATATTTTCTGCAATACGGTCAACAGTTTTCTGCAGCTTTATTCAGAAGAAGCAAGAGGTGTAAAATCTCCTCATCAGAGCTTTTTTACAGTTTATTCAATAATTAGAATTTTAGTCATCACATTTGTAATCGTATGGGACGGGTGTCATCTACTTTGATAGTGTTGGTGGAAGTATAAAGTACTAAAAAGGAAAATACTCAAGTAAAGTACAAGTACCTCAAAACTGTACTTTAACACAGTACTTGAGTAAATATACTTAGTTATGTTGAAGAACTGGTTCATTTTTTGTGCTTGACTGGTTCCATCCAGGTCAGTGCAAATACACATTTTTTAAACAAACTGAAAGTAATAGTGTAAAATATGCCTCAAAATTACAGCGAAGCATTGTTATGATAAACAAAAAATTTTATAACTCAATGATTCACTTTTAAAATGTGTATGAAGTATTAACTGGATGTCTTATTAGCATGTATACCGTGCATGTGCTCATTAAGGCACTCATGCTTCTAAGCCCCTCCCCCAGACACTTGCAGCCTTTCATTGGTTGACCTAGTGGGGTTGGCATGGAAACACAGAATGAAGCATGCTAAATTAGGTTCTAAATAGGCACGTCGTCTCTTCAGAGGCAGAAGCAGACATAAACACATACTGATCATAGAAAGCCAGGGTGGCCTCAATGCATTATGGGTGCTATAATTTGTGTAAAACACTTGGGGCAAGGGGCTGGCTTAAAGACAGTGCAACTGTGTTTGCGGGGAAACACACAAACAACCTACAAACAGAGGTACTCTGAGACTGCTTATGCAATATAATTCAAAAGTTTATTCCAACATGTTCCCTGGTTGTACTTCACTTAAGGCTGTTGTCACTATCACTTATAAGCATGACAGCCGCAATGCTGGAAAATCATGTGAATGGATGTTGACAAAAGGCAGCATTCACTAAATATGCCTGTTTCAGTTTCCGCTTTAAAACAGCAGGAATCATATTCATATCAGCAGTTTCCTGTAATGGAGAGCGTAATGTAATTTACCACACCGTGGCACAATGTGAGCCCTCATAACCAGCCTGATCTCAGCTCTAACAGGCATGACTATAAAGCTACAAGCTGTTTAAGCCAATTCTTAAACCTTTTAATTCCAAATCGCAGGTGTTACCAAGAGGCAACCATGTGTTGTGTCTGAGCTTCAGGGGGAAACTGTTCTTTTCTCAGGGAGATGGTTTCACCCTCTGTAGTCTGTATCAGCACCTGATGTAGTGAAATCCTCGTGCTTTTCTCGGGCAAATTATGGTCTTCTCTTCTCAGCTTGCAGCCTCTGGCTTCCTAAACTAAACAGAGGTCTTTTTGTGTCACCTCTGCAATGCCTTTTTTGTAAAAAAAAAAAAAGATTTACCCTTTGTCCTTTACTCGTTATTTCTAACACCAGTCTCCTCTTAACATTAGGCTACCCCATGACTCAGATCAGCTTCCTATCCTTAACCTGAGGTTTTACTCTCACCCCTAGTAGCTATTGAAGTTGCTTTTTTAACATTTTTTCCTACATTTTCTGTCTTCATGCAACATTGTAGATAGTCTTTATAGTTCACTCCAGCCTTTTGTTCCAATTATAATCTGCATTTTGTTCTCTTCTGCAGTGATATTGAGTTGATATTAAATGTCCAAATCAAATGATCCACTCAGTCCGAGGGGAATTATTCAGCAGATCTATTGGGTGCGTTTCACACTAAGAATAGCAATGACACACATTCCCAAACCCTTTTTCTGATAATAAGGTATGCATGTTAAGCGTTTTCCCTTGCAGCTGATTGGCCGGACTGTGGTGACATTCATGTGCTCACTATTCAGGTCACTGAGCTTGGAGTGTGGATGATGCTGGAATGATATTCCTATGAGGGCTCTCTGAGCCCAGGCTGTAGTAAGATGTTGTCAGTGAAAATATAAAATGTTTGTCATTTCTCTTCTCTTTGATCCTCAACTTTTCTCTAGATGACAGGGTTATGTAATTTCCTTTCACATAAAATTAACATAAGAGATGATGTATTCCTACTAAATATGGAGCCAGTAAATCCTTTTATATGTTCTCACATTTCTTATGTCTGCAAACTGCCACAGTAATGAAAACAGGATATATAATTCACAACTTAAACATATCTCATCTTGCTAAGTATTCATATTGTTTTATTGATTAAATAGGAAACAGAACAACATAGATGAGACTATACACAGAAATATCGTTCTCATCTTACAGTATAAGTGGGATAAGGATAAGGATGTGCCAGTGTACGAGCTGGAGATCTCATCTCAGCATCCTCCCTGTCTTGTTCAAACGTCCACAGTGCCATTCATAATGGCTGCTGTTGCCTGTCCATTTCAATGGAAGGAGTTGTTTCCACCCCTCCTCCTTCAAACCACAGTCTCTCCATTAGTTCACAGTGAGATCTGATCAAGTTACATATGAGCAGGCAGACACAGGCGCTGTACAGTTCAACATCTTGTGCAAAAATTAATGGCACGTTTTCTGCTACATACATCCAGAGATAGGTGTGGAATGTAAATTTGGTTGTTGCATTTATTTATAGAGCTCCTGCTGTTGTTCTCCTGACACAAATAAAAGGTAAAGGGCCTGGTTGTTATCAAAGAGACTTTCTGGAAAGAAAAGACAAAAAAGATTTGACGGTTCCTACAAAAAGTGGGAGTAACAAAAGTTAAAAGTACTGTAGAAAAGACTGAATAAATTCTGAAAGTCTGTTGCAAAAGCACCCTTAGAAAGGCACTCGCCCATGTTGTGTGTGTGACTGTGTTCCCAGAAGACCTTTTTATTTTGCTTATCCTTAGTTACCGATGCTGCTGTGTGTTCAGGTGTGACCCCGAACCTTTCCTGAGTGCATGTCCAGTTGGCTCAGCACCAAAGAGCCAGGCTTGTTGCTTCAGCTCCCTGTGGAGATGTTTTGTGCTTGAGTGCTGTCAGCCTCCTTGACTCTGTTACTGCTGCTTATGGTGTAGTGAAGCCAAGAGATGACAGAGAGACAAGCCAAGAATTACAGTATAGAAATATAAATTAAAAAAGGGTGGTCATGTAGTTATATTGGACAATGGTTGCAGTCAAAGCCATAATCTGTATCCTTGATCCAGTCCATTCTCTCATTTTCTTATCTGGGTGCTGCCTCCGGCAACTGCAGGTTTGTTACCAACCCTGCGGACAGGAACCTTGGACACAGGTATCTTGGTGCGGGGGGGTTCTTTAGCTTGAGGGATTTGGGAGGCAGTGTGAGACTGTGCGCCGTGCTTCACAGGGATCTTTGAGTCACGCGGTAAACTGGTGAGGACTTTCGGCTGAGGAGGCTGATGACTCTCCTCCTGGGTGTGTTTTAAGGTGGGCACATTGAACTCGACATTACTGACTTTATCTTTGCTCCCTGCATCATGTGAGTTGAAATGGGGCCTCTCTTCTTCTAACACAGGGGTAGGTGGGTTTCTGCTCGCTTCATCATCAACATGTTGGCTGTCCCGAACAGGTAGCTTGCCTACTCTGCCCCCTCCAACTACGGGTATTTTGCTAAGCCCTGATGCCTTAACTGGTGGTGTCCTCCTTTCTCTGGAGGGGCCCTGGAGACTTGTTTGTGACTCACTGTTCAGTTCTTCTGTTTTGGACGGCCCAGTCTGGGCCCCGTGGGCAACTGCGCTACTTGGACTAGCCAGTTGCCAATCCACTGATGCCTGTCCACTCCCTCTCATCTTAACAGAGGCTGGGGCTTCACTCGGTGCAGGGGCAGGAGGAAGAGAAGTGACAGGGCAAGGAGCAGGAGCAGGGGTGGGTGCTGGAGGAGCTTTAGATACAGAAACTGAGATTTGAGCAGGGGCAGGAGGATCTTTAGATACAGAAACTGGGATCTGAGCTGGTGCCGGAGGAACTTTAGATACAGAAACTGGGATCTCAGCAGGCTCCGGAGGAACTTTAGATACAGAAACTGGGATCTGAGCTGGCCCTGGAGGAACTTTAGATACAGAAACTGAGATCTCAGCAGGCGCAGGAGGAACTTTAGATACAGAAACTGGGATCTGACCTGGCGCCAGAGGAACTTTAGATAGAGAAACTGGGATCTCCGCAGGCTCCGGAGGAACTTTAGGTACAGAAACTGGGACCTCAGCAGGCGCCAGAGGAACTTTAGATAGAGAAACTGGGATCTGAGCTGGCGCCGGAGGAACTTTAGGTACAGAAACTGGGACCTCAGCAGGCGCCGGAGGAACTTTAGATACAGAAACTGGGATCTGAGCTGGCGCCAGAGGGCCCTTAGATACAGAAACTGGGATCTGAGCTGGCTCCGGAGGAACTTTGGATACAGAAACTGGGATCTGAGCTGGCACCGGAGAGCCCTTAGATACAGAAACTGGGATCTGAGCTGGCGCAGGAGGAACTTTAGATACAGAAACTAGGATCTCAGCAGGCTCCGGAGAAACTTTAGGTACAGAAACTGGGATCTGAGCTGGCTCCGGAGGAACTTTAGATACAGAAACTGGGATCTGAGCGGGCTCTGGAGGAACTTTAGATACAGAAACTGGGATGTGAGTGGCCGCCGGAGGAACTTTAGATACAGAAACCTGAATCTGAGCAGGAGCAGGGGGATCTTTAGACACAGAAATTGGTATTTGAGTAGGGGCAGGGGGAGCTTTAGATTGAGACACTGGGATCTGACCCAGAGCAGGAGGTAGTGGGGATGCTGTAGAAACAGCATGAGAGGTAGGGGCTTGAGTTGGTGTGGGAGCAGGGGGCTTCTTATCTAATCTTAAAGAGACTGGAGGAGGAGTGGGTTTAGTTGTGGGAGGAATCTTATCTAAAGGAACTGATGATGGAGTTGGGACAGATGCAGGGCTCGGTTGAGTTTTAATTGTCGCACTGGGGGTAGAAGATGGACAAAGATCTGGACCAGTAACAGAGGAAGAAGGGGTCTTATTTAAGTCCACTGGGCTAGGGGTGACTGTAGGCTTAGAGAGGGCCACAGATACTGACCCAGAGGTTGTAGTTGAGGGAGTTGTAGTTGTGGGAACCGCTGTTATCTTGGAAGGGATAACTGGTGCAGTAAAGGAGGGTTTGGTTGTAACAGCACAGGCCGATGGTACTGTCACTGGGGTTTTGGATTCTCCAGCAGCTGAACTTAGGGAAGGTTTGTAGGTAGTGGAAGTTTGCAGGTTCAAACTGGTAGCTGAATCCAATTTAGTAGGTGGAGGTTGGGTAAAAGCAACAGGGGTGGGAGGGCCACGCGTTAGCGGTGGAGGTTTAGCTGACACAGGAGGTGGAGCGGCGACAGGGCTAGGTCTACTTACTGAAGCGATAACTGGAGGAGGTGCTGCAATCTCTGATGCCAATTTGCTAGCTGTCGAGGTAAGAGTTGGAGTAATCGAGGGAGCCTTTACTACAGTGGCTGGCGTGTTCGGGGGAGCTGTGGTGGTAGCAGAGGTGGAGCTTGTTGTGGATTTAATTGTCGAAGAGGAAGACATTATTGGAACTGAAAGGCTTGCTAACGTTACAGGGGTAGTTGAAAGTTGTGTGGGCGTAGGAGCTGATTTAATTTTAGTGCTGGCAGAGGCTGCAGTAGAGTCTGAGCTCAATTTCACTGAGTGAGTTGTCAAAGTGGAAGATTTGGTCAGTGTCGTGATGATGGTGCTCGGCTTGGCAATGGGAGAAGAGGTTGGAGCTGTCTTTGTCAGAGAAGTAAAGGATCGGGTCGATGCTGTTGTGGGGGGTTTTGCTGTAGCTGTAGTGCTGACAAAAGTAGTAGTCAGCGGAGAGGAGATGGTGGGTTTGGGGAAGAGAGATGTGGGTGATGGCGAGACTTCACTCACCCCAGCACTGATGGCACTGCTGGCTTTTCCCCACTCTGCCTCCACATCAGCCATAATGTCTCCACCCCCTGAGATTGAGTCAAAGGTCAGGAGAGAGGAGATGTCTGCCAGCAAGGAGCTCAGGCTGTTATCACCGGGTATCAAGGGTGGTTCAGGGGTGGGCAAAAGTGGCAAATGTTCATTAGTTCTACTCACATTGCCTGCTGTCACCTGGGGAGTTATGGTCTTTGACGGGGACGTGGCTGCACTGTCCTGTGTGGTGAAGCTCTTGACGGGCGTACAGCTCTCATTCTCGGAGCTGTCCGGAGATCTAGGCTGGGATTTGGGGGTGAGGGTGAGGTCCTCCTTGATGATCTCCACACTGTTGGCGCGGGACGACATGAGAAGTGGGCTCGGAGGTGCTTCCTCCTTGTCCTCTTTATCCTTTGAGCGGAACTTAACATTGCCAAAGAGACCCTTCAGCCCACGACGTTGCCGACCCACTGGCTGGGACACGGTGTGGACTCGGCGGTCCCCCACTCCTCTCCGGCCACCCCTCAGCAATGACAGGAAGCTGAGGGACTTGGCTGAACTAGCTGAAGAAATGGAGGTGCGAGCAGGGGCAGCAGCCAGAACGCCATCTTCACCAAGCGGCTCCTCCTCTGCCTGCTCCCTATCTCCTTGACTCACCTCCTGTGCCTTTTCCTTCTCTGACTCCTGCTCCAAATCTGGTGCAGCGCTCTCCGATAATCCATCTAGGGTTTTGCTCTTAACAGGTGACTTGTTGTTTCCATCCCCTTTGCTTCGAATAGAAAAGATGTTACCTGGCTTGCGTTTACCAAACAGCTTGAATCCTTTTCTGATTTTTCCACTCGGCTGGGATTCACAAGGCGGGGGGTCCATGTTCTCCGTTTGTACATCCATCTTCTCTGTTTCCCCCTTTCTCTGTATCCTCCAGTCACTTGCTGCAGTTTTTATTCCCCAGCCAGTGGAGTGATCATTTATATCCAGACCTTCTCTTTATCTCCGTCTGTAGCCTTGCTTTACCTCTGTTGCTCTCAGTGCGTTTCTTTATCGGTTGTCCGTATCCCTCCCTCAGTCTATCTTTCCCATCCAGCCCTTTCTCCTCTATTTCTCCCTTGAAAGCCCCTCCCCTTTGCCTCGTTTTTTTTGTCTGGCTGCTCTCCCCGGTTGCCATAGCAACTGAGGAGCTAAGCAGCTTTCGTCAGCAATGCAGAGCCAGGGGCTGTCATCAACCCACCCTGAACGCAGCTTTCTCTTCCTCTCTCTCTTCCTCTCTGTCTGATGACTCTGTTTACATAAACAGCAAAGACAAATACTCCATTAACAGGGGCAAATTTTGAATTCTGAATGATCTGGCTTTATATAAACATCTCATCCATACATCTTATTCACATCTACTTTGTCACAGCCTGTAGTAACTTACCCCAGTCTGTTAAACAACATAAAACAACAATTTCATAAATCATTATTGCTATAGTGTCACAATTTATTACATTCAAGTTTTGGGCATAATTAGCATATTGACCCACATCCCCATATCTAGATCCACGAGGCTGTATATTACGTTAAAAAGCATAATTTTAACACCTGTTAGAGAACATGTAAAAAAAAAAAATAACAATGTTAAGGCTTCCTGTGAAGCGTAAGTGGTGTTTCTATCAAAGTCTTGTGGGAGGGCGTGACCTTTTGAACATCTTAACAGAGTCAACAACAGCCCTAAAGACAATGAAGCCATTGAGAATGATTACATAATTATAAATGAATGAAAAGATTTCATTTTAAGACGGGTATGGTAGTATTGATATGATCCCTCTTATTGACTGGTACGGTCAGTATTTTTTTGTGTAAATATTAATTTGAGCATTTTTATAGTTAAGGCACTCAGTTACTGTGAGATGTGTTTTGGAAAAAGCTGAGTTTAATGTCAAATGCAATCCTCTAATTGATACAGTGCTCTATCGCCTTTATTTATTGTCATTCACTTCATTCATTTCACATTTTCAGGGGCTTTTCAGGGGTTATTTGCCAGGCTGTAGGAATACATACCAATATACAGATTACTTGAGAAGCTTGTCTGAATTTCATTAAATCTTAAGTAGTCATGCGCATTTTGTTAGTAGATGTTAACAGTCATCAAGTGCTATCAGTTAAATTAATTTTCTGCTTGATTTGCACACATATTGATAAATGACTTTAATTACTTATTTTAAAATATGTCCATCCTAAAAAAAAAAAAATCTACTTTTGTGTGAATGTTTCAAAATGTTTTACAACTAAAAACAAACAATGAGTTATTTTACTTTTTGCCTGACCCACAGTTGTCAGTGTAATGCTTCCTGTAATATCTGTGTGTTCCCCCCTGAAATTGAACTAGAGAGTGTGTGTTTTTTACAAATTAGTCATGTGAGTCAAGGAGCTACGACGGGTCGCTCTTTATTATCAGGTTAACGGATGAGGTTTTGAGGTGGAACAAGCGCGGCCTCTTGTGGTTGTTTGAGAAACAACACGTGGCACAGTTTGGCTGCAGACGGCTTTGAAATGTACATCTGTCTGAGTCTGAAAATAAAGCTGCTGTCTCATCCACATGTATTCCCTGGCCCAAATAAGTCTGAGTAAGTGGGTCAGCAATCTTTGAACAAATCTGGCTGTTTTTCCTAGACTGTCTTAAGACACAGTAGGAGATTTAAGGATAGACACTGGTACGCAATTGAAGAGAAATGAAATATAACATACGGATTAAGTTGCCTTCTAAAGCTTTGGCACATTTTTTCACCACCAGTGTGCAGAGATGTTTGCAACAGAGATGGATCGACATGAGATCCACACTAAAACTGAAATATGAATAAACAGAATGATCAGAGGGTTACACAGACTTCCCTGTACATGCTGCTCAATAGACAATAGAGAGAATAGAACCTTAATAAATGTATTCATGTTTTGATGTTTAGATTCTCAGCCTCCTATAGGCACTGTACTGAATACATACACAATTAACTAGCTGAATACTGTGTCACCACTCACTGCCCACTACCACGAAAAATACATCATCTGTTATTGAAGATCACTTCAACATCTCCGCACCATGGCCAAACTCACAATTGTTGCACTGACCACAGTCTCTCTGTCTTTTTCTGTCACAAACACACAGACACGCACACATGCATCAACACAACTAAATAGGTGCTTTTTATTTACTGTATTCTAGGCAAATGTAAAAATGTTAATTACATATATTCATAAACCTGCACAATCCCAGTCCAAAGAACCAGTTTGCTCATTTTCGGCCTTTCATCCGCTCTATATTTGTCCCAGTATGACATACATATATACATATACATACAGTACATTCAGCATGCTGTTGCACTTCTCTGTACATTCTGTATTTCGTAAGAAGGTTCTGGTCCTCTCTGCCAGATCCTAGTAATCAACTGACAAAAGCTCTGTCACTCCAATGACTCTAATAGTTTTTCAGTTTTTGAAACTAGTAAAAGCTTGAAGGAATAATTTATCATTTTGTGAAAGAGACATATCCGCTGTCTTGCAGAGACTTAGATCAGAAGATTGACACGACTGTCATATGCTATCAGTCCTCTCATCTAACTTGCAGCAAGAAACGGAATATGTCGCAAACTATCACCGCTTCACCCAAATCACAAAGAGGAAGAAGAATATCTCCTCCTTCTGTTATATATCAGATAGCGTCTGTTACATTTTCACTAGTTTTGAAATATCTATGTCTCTAACATTTCTGCCTCCACTGCAGTGCAATGGAAGTGAACAAAATTTTACTTGTGGTTCTCAAAACAGCCATTTCTTTCCAGAATCAGTGTCTTACTTGCTCTGTGCACACTCTTTAGAGGGACATTTTTTGGGGGGGGGCAGGACTGTGCAGGACATGGTCATTTGGGGGAATCAGTCCTTTTATGTTTTGTCACCTACAAACTACAAACAAATGTCAGTGAGTGCTGTGCAAGAAGTACAAAGAGATGTTGAAAGGCACCCAGGTAGTCCTTTGATTAGAAAAAAAGATGTTATTTCCTCTTACACTTGAGTGACAGAATGAGGTAAAATGTTATATTAAATAAAAAAGGTTTTTCAGACTGATGATGGCCTCCAAACTTAGATAATTTGAAACATCATTTAAAGAGCCGTGTTGGCTTCCACTCTTTCTCTGCCTCCTTTCTTTAGACATCATGCTCAACGAGAGCTCTGGCGTTGTGGTCGTTGTCATGTGCCTCAGAGGGAAGTGTGTCATATGTACGACGGTACAAAAACCGAGTGATCAGAGTGATGATGAACATCTCCATGATCATCATCTGCTGACTCAGCACTGCAGGGCAGAGAGACACAGAGAGAAATAAAAAATCTTTTCTTTTTTTTTTTCACTTCACATGTCGTCAAAGGATGCAGAAAGACATTTGGAGATTTTTCTTACTGGATCCACGAGCTTGAGAAGAGAAGGGGGGAGCGCAGGCGATGGCTCCATTCAAGGCCAGGATGTTAATGATTGATGTCTGCAGCTGACTTAACACAAGTATCAGCTGAGGAGAAAACCAATTGCTGATCAGTTACACACGGTATATATACAGTGCAGTTAAAGGTACACCGTGTAGCATCTCTGAAAATCTGTGACACCAAGCAAATGCAACCACATGCAGGCGAGCGGACTGTTTAACACTGTGTCACTCCAGTGGGAATTTGCACGGCTTATGTTTCTCTAAATTGAGACTACCTTCCCCATAAACCCTGTTGCTCTCTGTCTGTCTGTCTGTCTGTCTGTCTTTCTGTTCTCTTTTTCTTCGCTGAATAGGATAACCATGCTGGGAAGCATTTCACTCACTCATTGTAAGAAACTGTAACAAAAGTGAACACAGAGTGAAAAGGAGGGTAATCTTATTTGTGCAATAAAAACAGCAACACTCTTATCATTTTGAGTCATAAAGCAATCAAACAATTTGACAAACAAAGAGTGGGAGAGGCTTGTAATCCTCTTAGTTTGATTTCTTTTCACCAGTGTGACTACATTTGTGTTCAAGCAACATAAAGCAGCTCATGTTGCTGTTTTGTATATTTTTTGTTTTTTTTTTTACTCTGTAGTACAAGTATACGAGGAGGTTTTCCCCATGCCAGGGATAGATTGTGATTGTGACCGAGCACTGTAGCATACGATATAGTGACTCACTTGGTACATGGCATACTTGGGTACAATATTGCGGCTGCGTATATGGACGTTAGTGTTCATGAAGATGATGGCAACAGGCCAGAGGGAGATGATTGTGAGAACACCAATGAATGGGTTAATCCAAATAGCTGTACCAGTGATCTCGAGCTGAAAAAGAAGCAGAGAAATATTTACATTTTATGTCATGCTCATTTGATTTTTTTTTTCTAGTACAAGCAGACATGTGGCAAAGCGTTTCAAATACTTACATCAGAGAGATCAAAGTTGCCATTCGTCCACAATATTATGGCGAGGACAGTGAGCACAGTCTTGAGGATTGCATACTGAAGAGCGCCCATCTTCAGTAAGAAAAACATTCGCCTGAATGATCCCAACCAAAGAAAGATCGACTTTAGATCATAAGACAATGTCTAGTTCGTAGAGAAAGACATAGAAAGGGTTTATAAAGGATATAAATGCGAGTGGGATTAAATGACTTTAAAATGTCACTTTATGAGCAGTAAAGAACACAGGCTTGAGCTATTAGACCCAGAACAGGAATGCGCAGACTGTGTTTGTATTAACAGGTATAAATACCGTGACATGGGCACGCGGGGTAAACAGAGGCAGCAGCAGCAGCAGGGTCCTGTGCTGATCTTAAAGGTATCACCAGAAAACCGCTTCAGAAAAACATCACTGCCCCCTAACTCCTCGATCATCAGAACCAGGACTTTATACACCACCACTGCAAAGTAACTACAGAGAGAAAGAGGTTCAGGGCTGTTTGTAGAGAACAGATGT